AGTAGTGGTGAGGACCAGGTGCATGGAACAGCTGGAGACTCAGGACGGCGACACCTGCTGACATCCTAAAACCCTCCCCATATGCTCACCGGAAAGGATGCCTCATAGCTTGGGGATTGGGGGAAGGACGAGAGGTACTCTTAGGTCGCTCCCACCCCCACCCGGAACCAAGAGTGGCCTGGCTGGATCGCCCAAGAGACTAAAACTTCCCTGCTTCAAATCAGGCGTGGTGTACACGCCTGTAATCCCAGCGCTCAAGGCTGAGGCAGTAGAATCATCGCGATAACAAGGCCAGCCTGAACTATGTAACAACACCTGCTTCAAAAAAACTAATGGGGGAGAGGTGGAGGTGGTGTATAACTCAAGGAGTACAACGCCTGCCTGGCAAGCGCAAGGTGCTGAGTTCAGTGCCCGGTACCAACAAACAAGCTTGTCCTCCTCGTAGTTATCTACCACGGCTAGCACAGGGCTGTGTCCACGGGTTATCACGCTAAATAAATAAATCCTCTGGATAATTCCTCACAGAAGCGCCTGCAATTGTCCCTCTTTTGAATGAGCGCCAAATGAAAACACCTACCCTCCCCCCAAGAAACCTATCCCAGTCTGTCCACAAGAACCAGAAGACAATATTAACATTAAAATAATTGGGGGGGGACGGGAAGATGGCTCAATAGGATAAGCGCTTGACTGGCAAATGCAAGGATCTGAGTTCAATCCCCGGTTCTGCCAAAAAATAAATAAATAAATAAATAAATAAATAAAATAATTGGGGCCAGGGAGGTGGCTCAGTAGAATAAGCGCTTGCCTGGCAAGTGCAAGGGACCGAGTTCAATCACCAGTTCTGAAAAAAAAAAAAAAAAAAAAAAAAAAAAAAAAAAGTATAATAATTACTACCCTGGATGGTCCAACTATGGTTTCATTTCTTCATTCTTTCATTTCTCAGGAACTAAGTATCTATATTACAACCCTGCTTTACAGATGGCAAAACAGGCCCAGAAATGTTCCTGATTTCACTAAAGTCACACACGTAGATAAAAACCCAGCTCCTAGGCCTATTCAGACACAGGGGCTTCAGTTTATTTATAGCCCCCACTTTTGACAGATGGGACATCTAAGATCAGAGGGGTGGGTATGAAGTCCTGGCAGCAGGGCAGGACCAGTGGGCTTTGTCTCTGAGCTCCAGGGACATAAGAATCATTAAGAGTCCTGTTCGGCTGTTTGTACACAGATGCAGCCAGGAATGTGGACCGTTTGCAGCTCATTATTGGACCTGCAGCCTCCCTCCTCCCACAGGCCTTCAAAACTACTTCTAATGGGAAAGGAATAAGTAACCTGGCCAACAAAGCCAGGAATGTCCTGAAGTATTGCTCAAAATGCAGGAAATCTGCATGGCCTCCCCAGGGAACCTATTAAATACAGGCTGGCCCTACCTGATCAGAGTGCGCAGCAGGGCACTGGCCCTTTAACAAGCTCCCCAGGGGCCTGGATGCCCAAGAAAGTATGGGAATTGCCATAGCAGTTTGCAGTTTGCAACATTGCCATGCCAAGCCCGAAGGGATGCTGGTTTTGTTTCAGAAATTGATGTAATTGAAAGGTGGCTGGCAGCACATCTGGGGCACAGCAGCCTTTCTGCAGACCTGGGCATCCTATCCAGATCATGCCACAGAGGAGACGCCCATTGTCATGCAGGGCCAGCTAACAACTAATTTGGTGGCTTGTAAGCCTGGGCTTCTAGGGATTTCAAAACTACATCTACACACT